TTGATGAATGCTTTGATGGATTTGGAGTTAGAAGTGAATCATGCGAGCATTTCTGTGATGAACGATCTTATGATACAACAAGCGAACGTGAAGATGGGGTTGAGAATCTACAAGCAGGAAGAGCTTAGGGATTTGTTGATGTCGAAAATTAGCTAAGAGTTTCTGCGGTGTGTTTTGAGAAAATTAATCATGGGGTCAAAGTGTAATTAAGTTTTGTTGATTTTCTCATAAGTTAATGGCCGTTTTATTAGATTTTGGATAATATACAGTTCTAATCTTGTGACCCAAAATTAGGGAGACTTATTGCAAATGGTCAACCCTGGAATGAACGAGATGAACACAAACACAAATGGTGCTTGAATTCTTTTTTTTTTTTTTGTTTCCTCTTGTTTGTTCATCTTACTAACATGAAAAAGATGAATATTTATATTTTGCACTTTCAGCCCAAATGGTAAAAATTTGGGTTGAATATATTTTTGAGAAAAATCCAAAAAAAAATTATTGCATGTTTAATATCCAAACTTTTTTGGTTGGAAGGAAAATATACATAGTTTAATTAAAACATATAATTTAATTTCTACAATTTTACTCAAGATCTAATAACAAAAACAAAATTCTAGTTTTACTCTTACCATCTCAATTAATTTATAATTAACATGGTATATTTGATTTGAATAAAAATTATTTTTTGTTGATAGGTTGTTTTTATTAAAATTATTTTATTTTGACTACCAAAATAAAAATTAGAAGAAAATCTTCTTAAAAAAATCTTCAACTTTCCTTTTTTAAAACACACCCTTTAATAGATAAAATTAGGGTTTTTGGAATGAAATGTTGAAGAAGATCAAAAAATTTAGATTTTTTTCTATCCCAATTTGAGTGGGTGAGTAAGACAATACATTTCTTGCTATCCTTTTGTTTTTAATTTTCAAAGAAGAAATTTAAAGCATACATGTATCTTAGGTTTAAAACTGATCTTGTTATTATATATAGTTTCAAAATCCAAAACACACATCACAAGCGAGATATTCTTCATTAAAAGAAAGAACAAATAAAATGGAGAGTAGAAGATCTTCCTATGCTTTTGTTTCGGTTTTGATCCTTGTGGTGCTCTTGTTTTCAGGGTCAAACTTGTTGTTGCATTAGAGGACTATCATCATCCACAAACACTTAATTGAACAACTCCGTAAGGTTCCAATTTGTATCATTAATGTGTGATGTGTCCAACTCCTAAACTAAAGTCTCAATAAAATAATGGAGTTATCTTGCTTACTCGTACATGTATGGAATAATGGTGTAGTAGTGACTGATGAGATTTACAATGAATCAATTCTGAAACCAAAAAGTGATTCAGCCCAATGATGTGTGTTTTAAAGCCCAATGACTAATGGGCTTATTTAACCCAACCAAATAACTAATGGGCTGAATTCGGATCATTTAAACCCGACCCGGTATCATCTCTATGGCGCTCTCTGGTTAAAACATACAAACTTTTAGGGTTTCTTCAATCTCTCTCTCCCTCTTTCTTCCTCTTCTCTCATTGAAATCGAACGAGGATGGGGAAGAAGAAATCGAAGGAAACGGAGCCGGAATCTCAAAACGATGAATCTCAGACAATCTTCTCCACTCTCTTCTCCGGCGAGGTTGAAAGCTCTGGCTTTGCGAGTCTCTTCTCCGCTGATAACCCTTTCCGGCGAAAACAACCTCAAGAAATCAAAGAGTCGTCAATTCCTGATGAGAAGAAAGGGGATAAACGAAATGCAGAGAACGAAGAAGGAGAAGAAGAAACAGATTTGCCTGTGAAGACGAAGAAATCTAAAAAGGAAAAAAAGCTTACAGATTCCGGCGACGAGAAAGAGACGATTTCGGAGGCTGTAGAAGAAAGTGGGTTGGTTTCAAAGAGGAAGAAGAGGAAGAGAGATGAGATTGAGAACGAATACGAGACGAAGAAGTATGGAAGCGTTGAGATGAAAGAGAAGAAGGTTGGTGAGAAGAGGAAGAAAGCTGATGAAGTAGCTGATACAATGGTTTCAAAGGAAGGTTTTGATGATGAGAGTAAGCTTCTTAGAACTGTTTTCGTTGGGAATTTGCCTTTGAAGGTTAAGAAAAAAGTCATCTTGAAGGAGTTTAGTAAATTTGGTGAGGTTGAATCTGTGAGGATACGCTCTGTGCCTATTGTTGATGTGAGTTTCTTATAGCTAAAGCCTAAAGATGAATTTAGGTTGAGTTTTTGTGTTCATTGGTTTCTGATTTCGTTTGATTTTTATTGATTGATTTAGTCGAAGAGGACAAGGAAAGGAGCTATAATGCTGAAACAAATCAATGAGAAAGCTTCAAGGTTTGTGCTTGAAACTCTATATAGTAATCATTTGATTTTGAAGTTTCAGTGATGAAAAAGTCTAATGTCAATGTTTGTGGAATTGCAGTGTTCATGCTTATGTTGTGTTTGAAACAGAGCAATCTGCTGCAGCTTCTCTGGCACATAACATGTCTCTGGTAATGTAACTTTTGCGCCTTTTGTTCTATCTGGTTGATTTTTAAGGAGTTATGTGTAGATTGGCTAATAGTTTTATGTTATAATCAGATTGATGGGAATCATGTCCGCGTTGATAGAGCATGTCCGCCTCGTAAGAAACAGAAAGGGCATGATGATACTCATTTGTATGATCCTAAGAGGACAGTCTTTATGGGTAATCTCCCTTTCGATGTGAAGGTTAGTAGTACTAGTCTTAAGGCTCTTCTTCTGTTTAATTTGCGATGATCGAACTTTATCTTAGATTCTCAGTTTTGTTTGTTTCTAATGCAGGACGAGGAAGTGTATCAACTGTTTACGGGTAAGAGTAATCTGGAGAACAGTATAGAAGCTGTTCGTGTCATTAGAGATCCTCACTTGAACATTGGGAAAGGAATAGCTTACGTCTTGTTTAAAACACGGGTATGTTGAAGTAAACTTTGATCTTTGTAAGGTTTGAGTAATAAAAACTAATTAGATCTGATGAGTCCTTTTATTTTGTTAACTATAGGAAGCTGCAAATCTCGTACTCAAGAAAGGATACTTGAAGCTTAGAGAAAGAGAGTTACGGATTTCTCGAGTCAAACCTGATACGCCATCAAAGAGAAAGAGCAATCCGTCTGAAGCTTACTCGCCGGCCCAGAAAAGACTGCAGAAGGACAAAGTGGTCACACCAACTCCAACAGGGAAGGCTAATCTTTCATATCAAGGTGTACGAGCTTCAAAATCTGGTGATGATAAGAAAACACCTTATCAGAAAAGCTCCGCGCAGACAAAGATGAGACCTAGAGGTAGCAGCAGCAATGACAACAAAAAATCTGGGAATAATAGTGCTTCAAAGGAAAGAAGTCAGAAGCGACCAGCTGTTGCAGCAAGAAAGGCGAAAGCAAACGCAAAAGGTTCAAAAGAGAGCGGTGGTAAGCGGTTTGCAGGGACAAAGCGTAAACAAGAAAACCGGACGCCTGAAAGCTTCTCTAAGAAGAAAAAAACAAAACGGTTTTAGACGGTTTCTTTCAACCATAATGGTGAACCTCTTTCTTCTTCCTTAATTTTGATACTAGTAGTCGTTTTGTATTGTTCTCTTATATCAATCAATGATGATATACTGTAATGTTGCAACAATTATGTTTTCGTGCAAGTTTAAAAGGAAAGCTATTTTGATGATTGTTTGTTAAGATATATTTAATCACATAAAACAGAATTAGGAGTTTATGTGCTTGAACTTAACTTCTCATGGATAATCTATTGTGATAAATACCTTTACATCTCGTATGAGTTCTATTATTAGAGTATGAATGAATCAAAGCAACTTGAATAATGTGAAATGATTACTATTACAACTTGTGTTTAAACGATACAACAACAGGTTTAACATTTGGTTTGAAAGTTGGTAATGTACGGAGAGGCTTGACTTGTCTCGTGTTGTGTTCATCTTTTAGCAAGAAAGCTCTACTGCTCCATGGTGACTTTTCCCGGAACAAAAGAGCTGTTTATTCCCCTAAGTTCAAAATTAATAATGTCCCTTAATACTTGTAGTCGCTAGGCATCAGGCATGTATCTCTGTACCAATCTGTATCTGTAAGAGCTTCAAACTATCTGAAAACTCAAGACGAATATTGTTGAGTCGAGCTGCATGTTACAGATTACAACATATCTAATCTAGCTCTCTCTAGCATAGATTTAAATAGTAAAGTCAAGTCCTACTAATTATCTAAATATGTCAAATATTTCTCAAAAATAAACCATTCCCTAAGAGACCTGATTAATAATTTTCAAAAAATTTCAGTAAGAATCAACATAAAATTATACAATAAATAGTTTCCCTTGTATAGATCAAAGAGATGACGACTCAGTAGTTAATTATCGCAGTGGGTATGTTCACTATCAATTCATAGTGTTCCGTGATTGGAGGGTTTCTAAGTGATATAGACTTGATTAACGCCTAAATCCTGAAAATATGAAATCGATAATTACTCTGATTGATTGGTACGTTTACTGTTTATCACCGAAAAATCTCTCAAACTTTATTCTTCGTCTAAGACTTTAATTTTGACCGCCACATATAATTCAAATAAAATGGTACAATTATTAGAACAAAAGTTCAAATATTCAAGAACTTTACGGTAAAACTACAGAACATAGACAAGATGATTACCCTAAGACCAATGGTTTTAATAACCACTGTCCGAAAGACAAAACAAAATGAAGACGATTCTTCTATAAAATATCAAATACAAGAAGAAAAAAATAACTCAAATATAAATCAATATGAATTTAAAAGAATCAACTCAAAACCTGAATCAAAGCACTGGACCAAATCAGAAAGAAAGCAAAAAACTACAAAACTTGGTTTTATTTCTGTTTGCTTATTCAAATGGAACACAAAAATCAAAATTCGAAGAAAACATCTTATATAACACAAACCATATACATAACTAGATATTTCATATTTAGTTGTAGATGCAATTGAGTTACCATATGCTTCTGGTCATGCTTGACTCCTTGTACGCCACCGGCAGCCGATTTTAAAACCAAAATCGGTATCCACTCGTGGCATACAGGGAGCCAGGCATAACGACAAACTATTATATGTATATATTGTTGTATACCAAACCTCTACGCATGAACATATCTTTATACGTGGATCTTGGCTTGAATCGAATCAGAACTTTTTTTAACTGTTGGGAAGAGGAAATGAAGTAGTCAGAGAGAAATGTTGAAGAGTTTTGGTTGAAGAGGTATATGTCCGGGAAATCTACATGGATCAGCAATGAGTATGATGGTCAATATGGAGAAAAAGAAAGAGTAATTACCAATTTTTTTTCAATTCAAAAATGTAGATGTCCGCAGCGTTATTATAAAATGAAAGTACATTTTGATAAAACGACAAATTACGATCCGTCGTATTTATAGGCGAAAGCAATAAACAAATTATTCTAATTCGGAAATCTTTATTTCGACGTGTCTACATTCACGTCCAAATGGGGGCTTAGATGAGAAACTTCACGATCGATGCCTTGATTTCGCCATTCCCAGATACCCATTTCATCTTCAGATTGGTCTGAGATTATGCGAAAATATACACTCATATACATAAATACTGACAGTTTGAGCTACCAATTCAGTGTAGCCCATTACCTTACATAATTCACTCAAATGCTAGGCAGTCTGTCAACTCGGCGTCAATTTGTCGGCCACTATACGATAGTTGCGCAAATTTTCAAAGTCCTGGCCTAACATCACACCTCTGTCGGCGGCGGGTCCCATTTGTGATAAATCCACCCATCGATTTGGTGTATCGAGATTGGTTATGAAATTCAGATGCTAGTGTAATGTATTGGTAATTTGGGAAGATATAATAGGAAGCAAGGCTATTTATCCATTTCTGAAAAGGCGAAATGGCGTCACCGCGAGCGTCACGCGCATTCCGTTCTTGCTGTAAAGCGTTGTTTGGTACACTTTTGACTAGCGAGGCTTGGCGTGTCAGCGTATCTATTCAAAAGTCGTTAATGGCTGCGGATCAAGAAAAAGTTGGAATAGAAACAGAATACCCGCGAAATTCAGGCCCGGTTGCCATGTCCTACACGCCGAAATAAACGACCAAATTAGTAGAAAAATAAAAACTGACTCGGATACTTACGTCACGTCTTGCGCACTGATTTGAAAAATCTCAATATAAACAAAGACGGCCACAAGAAAAAACCAAAACACCGATATTCATTAATCTTATCTAGTTTCTCAAAAAAATTCATATCTTCCACACGTGGATC